TTGCTTTCTTCTTTCTTAACAAAAAAAATAGGGACCTGTCTATTAAATCCATGGATGTTTCCAGGAAATTTAGAATTGATTGAATGGACTACAATGTTACATCAAGAGGTGGCTTCAAAAACTTTGATACAGGACCTTACCTCCACACACATTGAGTAGAGGCTCACCGCTCTTTCAACAGGGAGGCTGTTTTCAGCATTGTCACCTGCGGGTTGTTGCCAGATTAGTGCCTTTTAATGAGCAAAAGATACAAGTACAACACTCTTCATCCTCTCGGTCCTCTGTGACATATTTGTTTTTGATCTCTTCAGGATAAGAATGCATTACATCTCTATTCTGTCAATGGGAAGTATCTGGGTTCTGAGACTCTGAAGGAGGAAGTGTCTGATCTTTGTGTAACTGGCGAATATATCGTCATGGGCAGCTTGCAGGGATTTCTTTCCATACGGGATCTCTACAGGTAACGTACCAGCATTTGTACTGAGTTACAAATATGGAGCCTTAGAGAGAAATGGCTGTGTAATAAACTTTGCTTGGTGCTATAGGTGGTAGCTGTTGCTTTTTTTGTGTTCCCAAAATTAAAAAGTTTTGATGGAACTAAGATGTGCAGAAGCTGTAACAGATCTCTTTCTTGCCAGACATTTATCCCAATTAAACACCTAGAACTGACAGGAGGAGCTGTCAGTTTGCAAACTGCTGTGATTAGTCACAAGGAGCTCAGCAATTGCAGGATCAAGCCTCACATAGTTCTACACCGAGTTTTAAGCTCCACTTAAAACAAACATCCCTCCATTGCTCCACAGAATGGGAGGGATGTTTGTCACTTAGGCAGCTGTGGGACTAATGTCACAGTTTTTCAGTGAAAATGTCTTAGCTTACTGACTTAAACTGTCCACATCTGTTTTTGTTATTGAAGCTCTCTTTTGAGATAAAATTAGATTCTTAGAATACAGTTAGATAATTGAAACTGCAAATTTTATCCTTGAGAAACTGTGTTTTATAGTGCATCTCGTGGACAGCAATTTCACTTGCATGTGATTCTTTGCAGTACCTGCAAGCAAATACATGATTTACTTTCTCTCTGTGGTTTTTGTTTCTTCCAGCCTGAGTCTGAGCATCTCTCCCTTAGCCATGAGACTGCCAATCCATTGCATTTCTGTCACCAAAGAGTACAGCCACATCCTTGTTGGCCTGGAGGACGGCAAGTTGATTATCGTTGGTGTTGGCAAGCCGGCAGAGGTAAAACCCACCATCAAGAACTTTTTCTACCGAACTGTGGGAAGTTCACTTATTTCTGCTTTCCAGTTGAGCAAGAGGTCTCCTCTTTGGCAGGGTAAATTTAAGAGCAAGTTTCAGTTTTCAGTGGGAAACAAATAACTTTTGAGACTGCTCTGCTGAAAGTTCTGATTAAGAATCAGATGTGTATAGGGATCGCAGATGGGAAGCTCAGCTGGACTAACTTCCAGACTTTATCACTCACATCTGAATAAGCAAAGTCATAATAGCTAACCTTTTCTGAATGGGATAGTGTTGTCAGCCTCTTCTTGATGAAATAATTTTCCAGAAGAAATTTGGAAATGAAAGAGAACAAGCTACTTCCTTTATTTTTTTTTTATGGTTTCTATCAGATATCTTTTAATATGCGTTGACTGACATTGGGGAAAAAGGCATTACTTCTATCTGTTGAGAGTCTCTAATGGCAATGCACAGGGAATCACTTCTGTGGGTTCCCAGTATGCTTGTGCTCCATATGGTGAATAGAAACTTGTTGGTCCTGCATATGCAATATCAATTACAGAGCATCCATCTCCCAAACAGATATAACCAATTTTTCTTGTGCAAAACCATAGTTTTTGCTTTAATTACTTCTTGTAATGACTTTCAAAGTACTTGAGTTAATTTAAAACTGCTTATTATCTTTATAACTCAATCTCTGTTGTGCTGCTATGTATTTATTGAGAATGTGATTATCACTTTTGCATGATCTTAAGTACATGCTGGAAAAGTGAGTATTAATTCTATTTTATATTCTAAATGTGAAAACAGAGCAACTTTATTTGTCAGTATTTTTAAATTTTCTTGCTAGGATATACATAGTTTAATATTGGAAAAATATTCACACAATAGTAGTCTAATTTTGCTTGCACTGGATGTGGAGGGGACATTTCCACTGATTTTCAATTTTCTATTGTAGAATTGAAAAAGAGATTATTATTATGTGGTTAAACATATGGTTGTAACAGCAGTTTTAAAGCCACTGTCATTTCTAAGCTTCCTATTCCATAGAAAAGATCTTTTGTAGGCTGAATATTGTGTGTATCATTAGACTGAAGGCTTTTTGTTTTCTTATTTTCATTTTTTAATCACATCTATTTTTCTAACTATGCAGAAAGTGTTGTTTCAAAGACTGGATTCCTTTTATGGTTATAGAGGCTTTCCAGTGACTTTTTTCCCAGGATTTTCTGTTTACAGTTCAGATGATATGCAAGCTTAATATCTGTGTAAATAAGGTTTTTTTTAACACAAACATATAAGGAACAACATTATGTCCCAGATTTTCTAGTTTTCTATAATGGCATCAATCAATATATTTGAATAGTGTGTGTATGTGTGGTGTTCATTTGTTGAATTACTTATTTTGGAAGGAATGTGTTAATTCCTGGAACTTTATCTGTATGCAAAGACAGTGTTGTAGTTCTGGCTTTCAGTGGTGATATTGATCCTTAGGACAGAGGATTGGATCCTTGGCACAGGCTTGCTTTAATGTGCAAAAAGTGAAATGATGCTTGCTATCAAGATTGGCCCTTAGTGTTTCTGCACTGACAGTTTCTAATATGGAGTATAAGAAATGCTTTTGTATTTTGAACAATTACTTAGCTGTTTTGGATGTTACAGAAGTCTGGGCAATTATCACTTGTTAGTGTTAATCCTGGTCAGTGCTGTGCCTTTTCTAGAACACTGCTGCTCTGCTGATACAGCTCAGAAGCAGGTAACATTTGTAGTAATAACTGTGAGGAACTGCTCTCAAACTTGTAAAGGCATGGATCTTATTTATTGAACTGTGAGGATTTTCAGGACATAATCAGCTGCCAGGCTGATCACTATGGGCCAATCATCAACCTTGTGCTTAGGTAATGAAGAGTTTCTTACAAACTGTTGTCAGATTGTAGACCTACCAGATGCTGGATTTAATATGGCCTCTGGTTGCTTGTTATCCATCTTATCCTGTGGAATACTCTCTATGAATTACTTCTGCTTTAAACATTCCTCTGAGCACTTCACCCAGGATCTTTGGAAGACTGTATAAATTTGATACCAGGAGATAACCTTTTTCTTTTTCCTTTATTCTGCTATCACTGTCCTGCATCTTGGCTATTTTTTTCCCACTTCTGGCAATTTCTGTTTGAAATCTCTAAAATAAAATGTCCTTTCTTCTCATTTAGTTCATTTTTGCTTGGCATTCACCTCTTCTTTTCTCTTCCTATCAAAATAGCAATCTAAACACTCTTTCTAAGCTGTTTGAAGTAGGTTAAGCATATAAGTACACATTAGTGGGTAATATCCCTTTAACTGTTCAAATTCAGAGAAGGCTGTGGTTAGTGTTTTGTGTCTTGTTTTTTCGTCAGTCCCAAGAACAATCCCTAAGTGTAACTTTTAGTTTATTTTCAAAGAATTTTTGTTGGTATATTTTGTTTGTGCAGTACATTGTAGTGTCTGCATTTCACCAGATTCAGTGTCTGAATTCTTTTTTAATTTATCCACCTTATCCCTTCCCCCTCCTTTTGTTTCTCTGAATTACTTTCAAACAGATGCGCTCAGGTCAGCTTTCCCGAAAGCTGTGGGGATCAAGCAAACGGCTCAGCCAGATTTCAGCAGGAGAGACTGAATATAACACTCAAGATTCCAAGTGATTGCTGCTTCTGCATTCTCTCATGGATTCCAGAAAAATGTTTAATCTTTTGGTCACTTTAGATATATAAATATGTAATTAGGGCTTTGAATCTGAAGCCCTTTGATTCTTGATGAAGAACTTACGGTAGAGGTATAGTAGTAAGCATATGTACTCATGCAAGTTAGCCTGCTTGCATATTTGTCCTCAACTGTGTTGACTTGTTCACAGCAAAATCCCTCTCTCAACAGCTGCTAAAACTGTGTTTTGGGAGGACTAAAAAACCCCTGAACCATCCTCCCAGAAGTCTTCAAAACAGATTACTAATTGAATTTAAGTAGTGTTTGATTTAAAGCTGAGTAGGACCAGATGCTCCTTGATAACAAACAAGATATTTGGCTTTACTTTGACAGCACTGTTATTTCCCAGTAAATTAAAACTCTGGTAGTTGCAATGGTTGGATTCAGAATTGAATAGATGATGGTTATGACCTTCTCAGTATGTTTGTTAGGCTAATGAACTTTATGACTGTTTGTTTGTGTAAATGGCTATTGCTCACTTCTTTTGTGTAGTTCCAATTTTAGGCTGTTCTGCAAGGAACATCTGTGTTGCACTACTTTATCAGAAATTGTTTTAAGTACAGACATGAATAACTTCAAAGGAGTTGGAGGTGGTGAAGGAGCTGAAGGAGGTAGGAAATATTGCTGCTGAAAATTATTTATATTGTTAAGTAAACTTGAGACATACACCAAGAAATCCCATTATATATTTAACATCTTGCAGAAATACCCAAGGAAGACTTATTATCTATATTGGTCAGATATCAATGTGCTTTATTAGTAGGGCAACTTCTGCAAACAAAAGATAAATTTCTACTGCAGAATCATTATGCAACATTGCAGCACAATTCAATTAAAAATAGCACCTGTTTGTTTCTTGGTGTTCACAAAACCAGTTGTTAGCCATATTTTTTTTTCTGTAAAAATAAACACGGAAAACCAGTTGATATATCCATTTTCAAAATGCATTTAAGACCTGGTAAAAGAAAATATCAGATCCTTATGTGTGCTCTATCAAACTGCTTATTATGTTTCGGAGAAGCCATTACTGATTTTTTTTTTTTTTTGTTTAGCAATGCATGATGATAAAAGGGTGCATTTTCCTAGCAATCTGAAAATTTTTAATGTTACTGATTGAAATGAAAAACTCTATACTGTTAGAAAAGCTGGGTGCTGAGGGAAAACATGAATTTCCAGATCAGCATGCGAAGGTGTGTGTATGTGTATATATGTGTGTGTATGTATATATGTATATTCATGTATGTATTAAAAGAAGAAAATCCCATGGGGTGAGGGGAGCACAGATACAAGGCAGGTGTGATTGTTAGCTAATATGTTCCCTTTTGGGTCCCCATTTCTTCCCTCTACCATCGCTTTTCTTGTTATTTTTTATTTATTTATTGAAATCAATGTGTGTTGTATCTCTCATAAATGTTATCACATATGCCCTGTGGCTGGGGAGTTGTTGAACTACCTGAGGAACATAATGTATAATCTCATTTCATTAACTTTAAGCACAATATTTATTGACTTAATAGAAATATAATATCTTCTTACCCTGATAAAGGATAATCTTTACAAGTTGTGTTAGTCTCATTCAAACTGATTTCTCCTCCTCACTCCCTTTACTGGAAAAAAAACATCCCTCTTGATGGCTGATTGGTGTACTTGTAAAGAAAGCTGTGTTGCATTTTCTTAACTTTTGTAAATGAAATAATAAATCAGATTAGTGAACAAGTGGGTCTATACATAGTTGCAATATTCTGCCTAATCACTGTGACAGACTGGATTGTCTGGAAAGTTAGGAGAAAATAAGAATTATTTTCCTGAGTCACTTGCCAAGAGAAGATTAAACTTCCAAAAGTAGAGTGGTGTGGGTTTTTTCATACTCCACATATGTAAAAAAATTATAAATTAACCCACATCCCATATTTTCAAATAAGCTATAGAGAAATGTACTATTTTTAATCAGTTACCTATCCAGTAAGAATACTAAGGATACTGTGAAAGTATTAAGTTTGTTCATGAGAATGTGAAGCATGTTTGTCCATTATGATTTCATGAAGAAAGGATTTCAGGGGAGCTCTTCGTAGATAGTTTAAAAGTATTTCAGCTCAGAATGTGAGCTCTCTCTGTTCTGGGAGGTTGGAAACACTCAGTTGGGGCATTGAATTGATGGGTTTTATAGGTGTGCATTAATGTTGTGTTTAAATGCATAGACAAGGCATAGTGTTTATTTGGAGGGGAAGGTGGCAGGAAATGATAATGTTTTAGGTTATGAGAATGAAGTGAAAAAGGGAGATAGGTCTTACGTAGTGTTTGGTGGGAGCACAGTTTTCTTCTTGTCACTTGCACAGAGGGGTTTGTATAAGCATTTTAAAACATCCTGTTGTGGGTTTGGTACGTTTATACAACAGCTGACTTAACATTTTTCAATACTAAAGAATAATGAAAATAGTGTGTCAGTTTAAGTAAAATATAATGTTGCAATAATTTAAATAATTTATGATTAAGACCTTTGACATTTGAATACCATAATTTCAGTGCATCACAAGCACTGGGTGATCATCACAAATACCTGGGCCAAGTTTAAATGTGGACAGTTCTTGGGCTCTGAAACTCAAGGCTGGTCTGTGCTCAGTACAAAGCAGCAGCAGCAGAATGAGGAGGGGGCAGGTGAGCTCTGAGCCGCTGCTTTATGCCCCAGGTAGAATGGCAACACCCATGGCCTTTGGATCTGAGATGCTCCCTGGGGGTGGGAGGTGTACACCATCACAGCTTGGCATCCTTGCCAGAGGCCATCTGGAAAGACCTGCATGGCTGTGAAAGTCTGCACTTTGCCTTCGTTTAAAACCAGCTTGAAATAAAAGATGATTTGTAAGTGTGAGCATTAGCTGGTATGTTGTTTCTTTTAGGTTTAACTTATTTGCATAAAAATAGAAAATAATGTTTAAAAATAGAAAATAATTCTTCTGATCAGCTGTTTAGTCAGTTGAATTGCAGCCTGTTATGCAGTGCACTGTGAATTGGTGAACTGACTTTCATAATTCTTGGATTTCCTCAAGTCAATAAAGCTTAGGATCCCATTTTATTTTCAGGTAATATTGGTGAAATAAGATTCTCCTTTGGTTTTGTTCAAAGGTTTGTTTAAGTGTAAAAAGCAAAGTTTTGAGATTATAGTATTCCAATGAGGAATTTAGAAGAAACAAGTCTTAAGTGACATTTATTTCATAGCACTACATTTGTCAAGATCTTCTTTGTGATATCTTAATATGTTTAATTTTTGGAATAACTCTAATAATATTTATCAAAGTGTAACATATGCTTACCTTTGAAGATGAGTAAGTAGGAGTGTAAATATATATATCTAAAAGAAACTGAAAACTGACCTACTTTTCATACCTGTATATAAATGAGATTAATTAGTTAGCAGTATTAACTTCTTCATAGCACGGTTTTGAACTTGCGTACCAAAGGATATTTAGAAAACAGGTCTCCTTTATTTCAAGTCAAATGTTTGTTAATTTCTCTAAATCAATTTACTTATAATTCTTGATAGTATTTTTAGTTGTCTTTTTAGCTGTAGTGAAGAATCCTGTCTGGTCTTTGCTGGGTTTGAACTATACAAGCTTACAGAAAGTGAAATGCTCTACAAGTAGCATCTGACTGAGGCAGATTTTTCTGTAACCGATGTACTTATCCATTACTCACTCCTAGGATATCTAGAAACCACATCTTTTATCATCCATGTACCTTTACCAGCACAACATCATAATCCCAGTCCTAAAGTAACTGCATTTGTACTGGTGGTAAAGACACATTGTGGAAATTAGATTTTCTTAGGAAAATAATTTTTTGATATTAAAAAGAATAAAAAAAGAAAAAAACCAAACCAACAAAACTTCCCCCAACCCCCACAACTTCCCCTCCAAAAAAAAGCAAACTCATCCACATCCATATTACAATTGCTTTGCTAATCTGGAACATTGATATAGAGAAGCTCTTTCCCCTCTGGCATACCTTAGATGATGCATATTATGACAAAACAGGTTTATCAGTCTTCACAGGCTTTAAATGGCCAAATAATTTGCTGTCTTGCAAGGATCCCCAAAGTTGTATTTCTTTGTATTGAAAGTTGTATTTCTTTGTCCTTTAAATGAGTGCAAAGAACCAAGTTTCTGCACTGGAAAAATTCTTTAACATAGTCCTGCAGAAATGATAAATTTATTTTTGTAATGCACAGATTTGGTAACTCCTGCTTTAGTCAATGGGAGTTGTATACCTCACTTCCCTAAATCATGTCTTCCTCCTCCCTGTTTCCTTTGCAAACCTTTCCCAATCTTAATGAACAAAATCATTAGAAAAGATAAGGAACTAAATGCTGCACAAGGCTTTTGCTGTGTATGTGTAATAAGTAGAAAATGTGTATCTATATACAGATTATTGAGTGGTAGGGAGCTTTAGAGCTAGAGATGTCTACTTCCTTCTGCCCCTATATTGAGAGTCTCTGTAGACACATGCTCTGTGCTGTCACCTGAAACATTCCTGTCTTCCACTGCTAAAGGCACCTTGCTGGCTATGTTAAATGCTGAGCTGAGGCGCTGGGAATATTTTTTCCCTTTCAAAGAATTAAAAAAAAAAAACATGCCCATTAAATGAATACTCAAAATTGAGCCTAGGGCCTGATGTAATCAATACTGTTATGTGAAAGCACTACATAGGCTTGTACTTATTGGAATGGAAATTCAAGCATGTGCTTCAGTGCTTTCTAGGTCTTTTTATGCTTTCTAGCTTAAAAGCTGTGTTGGTTTTGGCTGCAAACACGACACTTGTTGGTAGTCTCCCTTTGGGGAGAGTAAGTTTCTATGGTATCATATACACGTGGGTTCATTGTATGCCAATGTTAGAGTCAACTGAAGTGTTTGGAAGATTTTCATTCTTTCATTCCAGGAAGCCAGTCTTATTACTAAATTGCCCTTGTAAGCACATACTTTTGAAGGAAGCAAGTTTTCTAGAAAGCTACTGCATCAAAAATATATTTAAAATTGGTAAAATGCTATTGTTCCCTTCTTCAGTGTTATGGATATCAGATGCCTGAATGTAAAAATGCCTGAGTGACACCATAGCATTCTCTGCATTTCAGTTGAGTGCCATTCACCTTACTGCAGTCTTGAACACTCCATAAGTGAGGAACTGCTTGCAGTGTTTAGTCCAAGGTAGCCTTTGTTCAGTTTTGACTCACCTTTTTATTGTGCATCTGTGGAAGAATACTGGTGTGTCTTTCTTTTAGTTATCATTTACCTATGTGGCCCAAATAAAATAGGTGTTTCACTTGTTTTCAATAGTTTCTTCAGTGTGTGTTCTTCCTAGTTTTGTGTAGTGGACTTGAGAAATTTGGCAGGTATTTCCAGAGTTCAGGTCTATACTTATACTCAGCAAAGACATAATTTCATCAGACATCTTCTGTCCCAGAAGCATGATTGTCAGTATAAATTATGGTTTAAAGCTGCTAAGGGGTTTTGAGATTGGAATATAAAACATCCAGCCATATATATCATAGATCTAACTGAACTTGGAGGTCACTTGTTTATTTAGCTTCCTGCCTAGTCAGTATTCTCCTCTCAAGGGAGCCATACTTTTTGCCTTGAAATAGCTTTAAAATAAACTGAAGTCTTGCACCTGATAGTACTACTTTAGTCATATGCAGCAGTGAGTTGTTTCTTAAAGAAAGCCATGATAGGGAAAAAAGAATTAAAGAAAAACTTGGAATATGTATTCTGATTCTGCAGGAGCTACTTAGGACAAGGGAAATGCTGCATGTGAGACTTACCTCCCTTTGGTCAGTGTTTTGATGGAAGCTGTGATGCTACTCAGTTTTCTGATGATTTTTTACTGAAGCTAATCAGGGGGTGGAAGCAAAGGCCTTACAGCAAAGTTAACCATATCTTCTGATAATTCTTACAGATTGTGCAATTACGTGATTACAAATGGATCTTTAAATGCCAAAAAATGCCTTTTCAAAGAGCTAAATGTTAGGTCTGAGGAGTGTTGGAAATAGCTACTTTCAGAAATGAGCCTTCAGGCACTGTAATGAACTTGCTGTCTGTCTTCTGTGCAATATCTTTTTCCCTCTGGGTGCTTTAAGGGTATACTGTATGTCTTACTTTGGTTTGATCAATATGTTTTAAGAGTGTGTATATTGGCTAATGATGGAATTTTTTCCTGTACAGCATGGTGGAAGATGTTTTAAAATTTTGCACTTTTCTAGGATTTGCAAGTTTGTAACCTGAAAATTTTTAACATGCACACTTTTGTACATAATTAGCATTGTATATATTTAACATGAGTCTGAAGCAAATAAAAGTAATTGAATGCATAACTTCTCCCTTTATTAATAGCACAAAAATTAAACTAAGTGTGGGAGTACACTGAATGAACAATTCTTTTGTGTAGCAGGTAAAAGTAGGCAGCAGGAAGAGCTGACAGTGTCCTGTCTCAATTGTGTTAAGGCAGCTTTATTTTGGTGGGGAAGGAATCAAAGTGGATATGTGAATGTATAGGCCCCTTCAAGCTTTGATTAGCTATGATTCTCCAAGTATTGCAACAAAAAGTGTCTTTTTGCTGGGAAGGAGGTGTCTGAGGCATGCATTAGGGTGAGGAAAAGAATCCAACTAATGCATATTGATCTTTATTTATAAAGCTGAAGTACCCCACCTACTCTGGGACAACAAGCATATCTTTCCTTTTTCCTCATTGTCTTCCCTATATAGTAACTTGTGCTGCAGAATATGGAAGGCTATGGATTCAGGGGATTGCTGTCAGTCAGGAGGAAACTGAAATCTGTTCCAGGCTCATGTTCAGTTGGTTTCTTACCCCTGCAAACAAGAGAAACCATGCTGTGAGCTTTAATGGGAGGTGGGACTACTCTGCTCCTGTCTGTTACTAGGGATAGATCAGGGCACCCTTATTCTGAACAAGCAGAGTTGATTCCATCATGTCACATGCATTTTAGATTTCTCAATAAAGTCCATGTAATTCTAGATATGGATTCCCTTGTTCTGGAGTTGAGTGCATTAGGGCCAAATTGGCATCTCCCTGGCTTTCGATAAAGGAGCTGACTATTGGGGCTCTTGTTTAGAATTTGGAAACATAAGCAGCAATGGATGCAGTGCTAGAGCACACACTGGGTTAGTCAGACATCCTTTGCAGTGCTGTCATGCTGCTGGCTCCTCTGGAGCATTAAACAATACTCACATTTTCTCCAAAGAGAAATGGAACCAAGGGATTAAGTAACTTCTGGTGGGGGGAGAGGCACCATGTGCCAGGAGTTTAACAGAAACCTCTCTTCCTTTCTGTCTGAAGGAGGATATCAATTCAAGTGATGCATTTACCTCAAAAACAGACGTGCTCCTGTCACTCCTTGCAGCGTGGCGTTATCTCCTTCCACTAACAGCATCGTACCTTCCCGCAAGCCCTGGGGGAGGCAGAAACATTTAAACTTATTTTCAAGCTATGTGGAAGGGTAGAATGCTTGTCACAAGCAGGCCAGTCTCAGTGGCACCATGACTACAGACTAAACCTTCTCATTTACCTAACAAAGAGGTAAAAACAAAAATAGGTGAGTTATCTTGTTTTAGAAGTCGATTTTCTTGTTTATTCATTTTTCACTCTTAAAGGAGAAATCATTAAGGAGGAGAGGAAACTGGTTTTTCCCATAGTTATTCTTAGATCCAGTTTGGGTTGAGCAACAGCCAGTGGATTTGTTAGTGCACAACATTTATAGTACAAGATCAAACACAGGGACAGGAAACACAGAGGTCCCAATTCCCCTGACAGATATAATGAAATTATGTATACACTATTGAATGTGCAAATTCAGAAACTATTACAGAGATTAAAGTTAAGAGTATCTTCAAAAAGATTAAGGGGGAGTTTTGTACCATCTGCATGCACACCACCCCCAACACCCAATATTTGGTGGCCAGTGACTGCTGCCTAAAAATAGTGTTGAGCAACACTAACAGGAGTATGCATTTCATTGGCCCCAATCCATTTTCTACAATGAGCAATATCCAAGGCTTAAGCTCTTAGCAAGAATACAATTAGCATTCCAATCCAGGTAATTTTAAGGCTTGACAGGCAAAGAACCCACACTGAGAGCTAGCATGAATGCATTTAAAATGTTTATCATGCTCCAGCTTCCTGATGGAGAGCTACTACTCACCAGAACTGGAGGGGTGTTTGGTTCTTCGTGGTACTGGTGGATTCTTTCCTCTCTTGTCTCCTGCAATAATGAGCACAGATTTAGCTTCCCAGGCCATAAGTTAAGGACTTGGAGCTATCCAGGCAACATGACATTAAACAAAGCAGGCACTTCCCCTCAAGCAGAATGGGATGGCCGGATTGACTCTATTTAATAGATGTGTGTTTTACCCTTTATCACTAGCAACAAGTTACTGCAGGTTGATCAAACAGAACTCACACAATCCCAACCCTGAAAAACCTCAAAACTTACTTCCACTCAATTAATCCATGAGTTTTTTTTTAATTAGTACTATCTCTGTGTGCAGAGATAGTACTAATACTACCAGGAAATTTGTAGAAGCAAGTGCCTGAGGTGCAACCTTTGTGAAAGAGAGTAGTGAATCATGGATTTTCAGTGATTAAGTATTTGCTTGTTTGTCTTCAAGTAGGTATTACACTGAAGAATTTCCTTCTGTGAACAGCTGTGTCATGTTTCCTGAGGTTTGCTGCTAAACTGAGCAACAGTAAAGAAATAAAAACATAGGAACACAGCAGGGACTTGGTACAGCACAGGGCTTCCAGCCTCCTCTGAGAGAAAGAAGTTATTTATAGGGAAAAGACTGCCTGCTAATCTAGTGACAAACTGATGAAATGAATACCTACAACTTCATCTAAATTCTAGAAGCACACCCATCTAGAAGCATCCACCATCTTCATTGTTCCCTAACTCTTAATACTTCCTCTAACCATGAACTTTGATTACAAGGAGGAAAGTGTTTAGGTTGTTAAAAGATGCACTATACAGATTGTTCCCTCAGGAATTAGCTGACGTGCTATTTCAAGAAGGGGCTTCTCCCCACTGTATGGAAATCTGTCTTTGTGCTTGATGGCTGAAGTGTTTTTCTTTCAGCTGTACTGGTGCATGTGCTTGCTCTGTACTGGATATTACAGGCTGTGCTCCCTGCAAGGACACCAGTGCCCAGGTATTTCTTACACAACATCTCTGTTGTGATTGTTTCTTCAGACCTTTAGATATTTAAGCCTCTTAATGTATGTTTAAGTTAGGGCTTCCCAAGCAGCAGGTAAGACAGAACTTTCCAGAACCAGTGCTTTGCATCTTAACACTTCAGGTTTATCTTTTCTTTTTTAATTCCCCCATTCCATGCCAGATAGCCAGCATTTCAACAGTATTTCAGACATTGCAGAGCTTCTGTTTGTGAAAAACACTTTGTTCAGTAATACTCCTGCCAACTCCTCTTCCCAAGCAAAGTTAAGTTTTAGAGGAAGTGAAGTGTTACTGCCTCATTGGCATTTCCAGTTTCCCTAGGGAGCAGCTGTTTGACATTCTATAGCTTTGTAAGGCCTCAGAAATGCACATTATTTTTACTCCTCCACACCCTAGTTACTGTCTTAGTTCTGGTGTGCTTTACTTACACCCATGTGAGTTCTTTTAATGTCTGGGTCCAGGTAGTGAGGGTTAATATTAAAAGGAACTAATCCTAGAGCCTGCAGGGAAGGTGGATAAACAATTGGCATGTCATTGGTGGTATTGATGCTGACAGTGGCAACGTTGGTTCCTGCGCTGGATCCCATGTAAGGAATCCCATCCTGAAAGACAAAAGCAATGATCAGTCTGCAGCACCACAACTAGGAACTCAATTTTATACCATCTTTATCAATCTCAGAAACCCATCAGTCAGATCAGATTTAGTGCTTCCACCTCCTCTCATTGGTAAGTTTACAGGTGAAAAGCAGAACAAGAATTCAGATTCTGAGGTGGGCAGTAGCTTCTCTGTGTCAGAGAACTAACTGCTGCCTGCCTTGTACTCACAGCTCTGTGATCCCCCAAGACAGAATTTACCAGGCTGTCAGTGCATGGTGAACTTTGCTATTAAGAGGAGAGTTTTGCTTCTATTGCAGTTAAAGGAAGTATCTGAACTGGCTTTTAACTAGCTTCTGGAGAGAGCAGGCCATCAGAAGCTCACTGCAGTGTTGTCACAGCATCAACTTAGAACCATGACCAGTTTAGCACTGTTTAGCTATGAGTACTATGCTGTACATAGAAGAATGCCACACAAATATGCAAGTGTACAGGTAATCCTGAGCAATTTGTGAAAATAGAGCTGTCTTGAGACAACTGGTGGTAATATAACCAAGTAGTTATCCAAACTTAACTGGCATTTGGACATTTTCTGGCTTTTATTCCCACAACAGATGATGAATTTCTATATATTAAGATAAGCCTAGCTAACCTTTATTCTTGGCAGCTGGCCTTACTGTGGCTTGTACAAATCTGCGTAAAGTCATTTGCAGTTCCACATTGCTAGGGAACACCTTGCTTCTGTTCTCCTCCAGAGATGGTGTATCTTTGCTGTGCCTTATGAGATTCACCAGCTGGACTGGTGCTGCTGACCAGAGGGGCTCAATGGCACTCACACCTCTCAGTTCCAAGGAGATACAAGAATTACGTAATTTTCAACATCAACAGGACACTGGCTAAAAGGCACATATGGATCCAACTTTATCACCAGTTTATCAGCAGACAACTGCAACATGAACATCTGTATCAACAAGATATGAAGTGGACGTCTCAAGCTGAAAAACAGGGTTTCTAGACACAGATTAAATCCTGCACTGGTCTTTTGACTGGCATTTTGAGTGGTTTGCTTCTAGGGTTCCATGTAGTATTGTACATCCCAAGGGCTTGCAATCTAGCATCTGGAAAACTGCTCTAGGAAGATAGACTGCTGACACCTTAAGTCTTTTCTATGACTCAGTGACAGCCTTATTTGGCCATGGTTTTCAGTTCACCAGGTTGTTTGAGATGGCTCGACATCTGAAGTGTATTAGAGACAAAAATGCAGAATCAGCTTGGACTTGTCTGAACAAAAGCTCATGCATGAGATCCAGCCATTCAGACTTGGCCAGAATCTGTAGTTTTACCTCAAGAACTCTTTTCCTGATCTCATGTATCAGACAGTTGTCATAAAGAGCTTTCAGGAGACGGAATGTGTTCCCACCTCCTGCAGAAACAAAGTTCAGCTTATTTAGCATGCTTTCACCATCAGTTTTAATTGAAGCCTTCAATTAAACTCAGCAGGCACTACAAATTCTATGCTGTATTCAGGGGCAGTATCCTGCTTTGAGAAGTAGTAAAAGCAGAAGCTTCAGAGGAATGGTCACTGGGCAGGCCATGGGCATGCCCTGAGTCATTCTTGTAAGGGTGCCACTGTCTGACAGTGACCTCTCTTCCAATACCCAGGACCATGCTATTAGGACTAGAACTTCTTGGGCTTGCTAAAGTGATAATACAGCTGCTATGATCACGTTTTTACACTGAAGTACTGTTCAAAATAATAATTTGAAATTTACTGGAGATAAAGTTCCATTAATAAATCTACTTCGCAGCCCACCACTGAATTTAGAGTCTTAGAGCTCCTAATTACTGTCTTCTGTAGTTTCTAATTACTAGGCCTAACTGCTTAATTGTTGGTCTTCAGTGCCACCTCTGAGCAGGACTAATCCAGTGCCCTATATAAACCTTCACCGGGGACTAAGAAGTAAAACTCACCAATAAATATTGCTTCAGATTTCCTTACAGCTTCTACTGGATCACAAGATTCATGAATGCTGTCCAGCCCATAACCTTAAATGAAAAAGTATTTACCTTTTAATATGAAAGTTTGGTGGAAGAATGGGATATGTTCAATCCCTCCCTGCCCACCTCCTCCAACCCTGAGCCAAATATCTCAACCAGGGAAATTTCAGAGAACTCTACAACGTAAAACAGAGTGTACACCCTATATTAGTGCAGGGCTAATACAGCTGTACAAAAGGAAATACTTGTTTTGTGGAGATATGCACTCAGTTTCTAGGAGCAGAACATTTCACTCAGCAGGTGCAGGCTGAGGCACAGTATCCTCCTGAGCATTACCAGATAACTAGAAAATGAGGAAAAAGCTGTTAGTTCTCAGCTTGGCTATGCTAAAATCTGACAGGATGTGTTGGTTCTAGCACTTCTTGTGCAAATACCTGATCTGAGTATTGTTTCTGTTCAAATGTCTGACTTTGATAGGTTTGCCTTGCCGGGGTTCACTGAGTACAGAAGTGTCAAGAGAGACAGAAGAACATAGGTATTTGATAGCAGCAATCTTCCTGCAAGTCAGGGAGCAAAGTGTGCTGCCCAGGCAAGTGAGTACTGATTATTACTACACTAACAGCTCCAAAGTTACCCTTAACAGTGATAGATGCTAGGTGGAGGTGCTGCTGTAGACTCTGCAGAGATCTTTGCTCCAAGCAAAGTTCAGCTGCTGTCCATCATGGAACTATCCGGCTCCTTGATGTGCTTTAAGTAATGGTCTTCACTTACAACCATGGCTTGAGCAGAGGTTTAAGATATATGGGAAGAAATGTTCCCTCATGTGATTAAGAAGGATAAAAAGATGCCACTTAATAGTTAAGAATAAAATCATCTTCCCTGGAGTGAGCAGAAGTGTTTGCAGCAAGATTTCTTCTGGAGACCTCTAAAACATCTCCTTCCAGGCAGAAGTCCGCAGCCGACTCCTGCTGCTCACTGCCCTTGCTGCCCGGACCGCAGCAGCCCAGCCAGCGTGCCCACAGCCCGCTCCCCGTGCCCGGTACCGGCCCGGCAGCCCCGGGCACAGCCGGCGTGGCCGCCGCTGCCGGGCCGGCCTTACCCAGGCTTTCAAACTTCTCCCTGGCCGTGCGGGCGTAGGCGTCGCGGTCGTGCAGGGCGTAGGGGATGAACAGCACCCGCCTCACGTTCCTGGGAGAGGAGAGAGGGGAGAGAGCGGTGGGCGCGGCGGAGGCGGGGGCCGAGTGCTCCCGCAGCCCCGCACGGCGCTTACTGCCCTAGGAAGCTCTGGATGTGCTGCTGGCAGTGGCCCAGGTACCCTCCTCCGGGCAGGGTGGAGTTGGAGATCAGCAGCAGGCGTCGCGGGCTCCCCATGCCGAGCCGAGCCGAGCCGAGCCTTGCTCCCTGCCCAGTCCGGTCCGCCCCTTCCTGCCCCGCCGGCGGCCCCGGGGTGGGGCCGAGCCGCCGCCGCTCCGCCGCCCCGGCCTGGCCATGCTGGACTTCGCCATCTTCGCCGTCACTTTCCTGCTCATCCTCGTGGGCGCCGTGCTCTACCTGTACCCGGTAATGCTGCCGGCCATGGGGCGGGGGGCGCCCGGCACGGCCCGGCCCGGCCCCGGTGCAGGCGGGCGGAGAGCGAGCGGCCGCGGGGCCGAGGCAGCCCCGGGCCCGTCGCAGCCCCTGGGCCCGGGCGGTGCCCCCGGCCCGCAGCCCGGGCCCGGACGGGACGTGGCAGGGGCCTGCGGGAGAAGCTGCGGGCAGGGCGTTCCCGGGACGGCGCAGTCCCGGCACTCCTCCTGCCTTACGGGCTCCGGGATGAATCCTGCTTTCCAAAGGCGCCGTCGTCTGCTCGCCTTTTATTTTTGCAGGCCTCCAGGGCAAATCAGTGTGTAATACCCCTCATTGCAAACTTGACCCTTTAAATCTTTACGCAGACATCTTTGATCTAACCAGATGAATAATCCTGGTTTAGCCAGTGGCGCCAGACATACAGTTGAGGTTTATCGGCTTAGCAGGTTTAAAGCCTGCAGATGTAGCATACCCAGCTCCTGTTTCATGTTTGTAAGTAGTTTAGTAGTATTGGTGTGGAAAATTCATCTCTCCTGCTGGAAAGGTGTGGGACCTGTATAAAATCTGAAGTTCACGTAGATTGATGCATTTCCTTTTACTCTAGGCATCTAGGCAAGCGTCAGGTATCCCTGGGCTGGCTCCAACTGACGAAAAGTAAGTGGTTTCTGTCTCCACATTGGTGAAGTTCAGCGTTGGCAGAGGATGCTATTCATGACCAGAAATCCTGTGTGTTTCTCAGGGATGGCAACCTGCCAGATATCATTGCCAGCAGCAGCTTACATGAGTTTCTTGTCAACCTTCATGAGAAATATGGGCCACTGGTCTCCTTCTGGTTTGGAAGGCGTCTTGTTGTCAGCCTCGGCTCCATCGATCTCCTGAAACAGCATGTTAACCCCAACCGGTTGTGTAAGTGTCTTTTACCTTGTCTTTTGAATCCATTTGTCTTTTGAATCCATTTGTTCTGGCCTCACTGGGCATCAAAGGAAGTTGGGGTTTCATTCTACATTGAAAGAAAATGAGGCTTTTTAACTGACATGGTGGTTCAGGTATGACTTTGGTCCTGCTTACTGAGCTTGAGTATCAGTGACCAAGGGTTACTGCTGTCCAGTGGCCATCAGGAAATCAGTACGCTTGTGTCTTTTACCATCTCTCTACAGAAAAACATTCATGAAAAGCATCATGCTCATTAGTCACTTGATAGAGCAAGATGAACATCCTGTAGCCACTTGGCATACATTTTAAAAGCAGTTTGAAATACAGTTTAGGAGGTAACTTTGATAAATTAAGTCTGAAAACAGGTCTGCTAGTTTGTGATAACAGCCTTGTATGGTTCAACATGGAGATTTTTCAAACTATTATTTGGAGAAGTTCTTTACCTTTCATGTTTCTTTTGGTGTGTAGAATTTTGTAGTGAAAACCTTTAATGATCTTCCAGTCTTGGAAGTGGATGGTGATGCTGGTAGCTGAGTTGACTATCTTAGTCATGAGAGAGTATTTTAATTTATGGTCCAAACCTCTTAGGTGGGCATTTTGCTTCCTAAGGTTATCACACTTGATAAGTTAACTCAGTTGGTGCTTGGGTTCAATCTCTTGCTTTCCCACTTTTACTTTAGAAGGTTGACAGAGGTGCTGGGTGCACACCTCTGACTTGACCCTGTAGGCTGTCTTTAGGCACAGGCAGAGAGCTCAGCTCACTTTGTGCTGGGGTCGTGAGGGGTAAACTTCATGTACAGTTGCCTGACAGAATCAGAAAAAGAAATGGTGACAATCTGGGAAAGGAGTGGGAGTTAACAAGGATCAGCAAGACACAGTGGATAACGATGACACTCCAGAAGGTGGAAAACCACCCTGAGAGATCTGAATGCTCTCAAGTGTGTTTGGAAGAAATTAAGCAGACAGTCACTTTTTCAAAGCTCAGAGAAGTGGTGACAGGCCCCTGCACAGGCAAGTTCTCATAAATGTTCTGAATTTTGGAGGATCTGAGTATTGGAGAAAGAGAAATACAGTGCCTGAACTTAAGTGCAGGAAATTAGGTGACCCAGGCAGCTACAGACTAGCCTAGTTATGCCAATGGCTAAACATATTTTTTTAAGCATGGGGGATAAATGGGAAATGCATGTTGTACTTTGATAATTAGATTTTTAGACAGATAAAGTGATAAAACTGTGTTTATGTCAGGGATTCAGTTCAGAATTTGCTTGGATACTGATAAATACTGGACTGGTACTTGGAAGGGGGATCAAGGCTAGATTGTCTTGAAAAGTGAAATGCAGTGTTGGGGACATGAAATACTCCATCTTACGTTAGTGTCCTACCCTGCTGGCATTATCCTGGAAGCCTTTGTTGGCACAGGGCAGCAGAGTGAGATGGATATCCCTGAAGGCTGGGATAGCAGGAACAGGAGCAGGAGGAGAAAAAGTGAGCTGCATGAATTGCCTATGGGATGACATGGCCATGGAAAAAAAAAGGTTATATTGAGTCATGGATTTTCAGTAAAGAGAGGACTTTTGCACAAAATGCGCATGAGTCAGACTTGGAATCCTGTGTGTGGCTCTGACCTCTATACTCAGGCATGATTTTGAATAAAGCAACTGCAAATAAAGGCTGCCAGTGCTCCCGGAGGAGTGGGAAGGCTGTTGTGCAGGAGAAGCCAGGGAAAGTGTGTTCAGCCCAGACGAAGAAAGAGCTTCTGAAGGGATCCTCATAAAGACAACATGCTTGAGAAGGAAAGTTCTTACAACCTTGGAGCTGGAAGAGCAGCAATATTACTTGTATCACTGCTTTCCTTTTAACACTGATGTTTGCCAGAAGTGCTCAAGCTTTATTAGGGGTGAGGAATCTTACAGGTGATATTTCCTGAAGCATTGAGGTATAAACTGAGCTGAGTAGCTGTAGCAAAGCCCTTTCTATGCCCTTGGTGAGTGGGAACAGGGGTTGCAGTGGGTCTCAGCCACAAGCTGGCTCTGGGCAGGCTGGAGTTTTGTTGGAGATGAAGTGTTGCCCATATCTCTGCTATAATTTTATTGGAGATGATGTCTTGTCCATATCTCTGCTGTAGTTTTATTGGAAATGAGGTCTTGCCCATATCTCTGCTGTGCACACAGTGCTGTGGAGCAGAAGACAGCCCACAGTGGACTGCATTATATCCAACTCCTGACTCCTCATCCCCACTTGAAAACCCAGCCATGTGACTGTTCCTCAGTCAGTTAGAGTGCCTGAGGATCCATATCTTCATAGATACCTGACATTTGGTTTCCAAGGCTGAAATACAGGATTTGGCTCCAGACAAAGTTTCCTCTCATCTCATATGTGTGGCACAGGTATGGCCAAACTTCTTGAAGAGAGAGAGAGGTACAGATAATGCATTTCTCATCAGAGCCTTGAAGCTGGACTAATTGGATTCATAGTTATAAACATTTCCAATGCCAGGAGACTCTTTTTCCTTAGGCTTCAAGCAGTGTTTGAAATTGGTATGTTTTCATGGCCTCTTAAAGCCTGGTTGAGATTAATTTGCAAGGGGAATTCAAAGGAAGTAAAACTTTGTAGCTGGTACTGGTGATTCCCCTGAGTGGCTCTGAGGAAGCAGTTCAGGCCTACAAACAATGTGGATGTGAAGAGGATGGACTAATTCAGGATTGCCAGGAGCAGGGGCTTCAGAGACCAACTTGGAAAATTCTCCTGAGTTGATGTTGCTTTTTTGGTTTGGGGCAACGAACCTGAAGCACACTGAATGCTGGAGATGGAGCTATGGGTCCTGGCCTGTCTGAGCAGGACTTCACTGCTGTTCTGTGAGGATTTTACTGTGCAGGTCCAGAGGTCCCTTCTATCTCTGATGTTCAGTTGTGCTCGATCTCAGTTAGATCTTTTCTGTATATTTATTTGCATGGTGTCCAGCACTCTGAGGTTTTTGGGATGGGGAGATTTCCATGTAAGTGAAAAGAACAGTGAAAATTTTGATATATGTCACTAGGAGGGGTGAAAATGTAACCCTGGAGACATTTTCAAGACAAGGACAAAGGATGAAGTCTGTGTAAGTGCTGGCAGAACAGAGCTCTCTCCAGAGGCAGTTTGTGCCTTGTGGAGTCTCTGGCCTCCCACAGCTGTGCAGAAATAGCCCTTTGCATACAGCAGGAGGCAGAGCCAGCCCTCAGCAAAAGGGCAGCCTGGGCTCTGCAGCCCTGAGTGCCCAGCAGTGTGTATCAGTGGTGTGGGATTGCCAGTTTAGTCTAGGGACATTGGCAGAAAAGCACCCAGAGCCCGTGGCTAATGCAGCAGTTTCATATGCAGCAGGAAAACTTTGCAGTTTCAGCAGGCATTGCTTCTAAGCATCCTCCAGCCTCTCTGGATGCCTCTGCTTGCCGGATTTTCTGTGTGGGCTTTGCCACCTGCCATGTGTCTTCCTGGCTGCCCGGTATTGTGCCTGGCTGTGCCAGTGCCAGTCAGCAGGGATCTGTGGCATCAATAGCAGCTCCATGACAAAGTACCTTGGAGGAGGAATTGTCAGCAGCAGCTAGAGGCACATAACAGCCTGCGCCACGTGGAGAGCCGCAGGTACCATCTGCTCTGCCAAAAGACACATGCTCGTGCTCCTTGTCATTCAAAGTGGGAAAGAGGGTGAGATGCAGAGCTTAAAACATTGGAAGGGAAAAGATGTGAGAGAAAAACATTTGGGAGGGATTACCATATTCATGCCTCTGGCCTTGTTAGCTGCTTTTATGTCTTTAGGTAGTAAGTCCTCTGCAGGTGGGAATTTTCTCTTCTTGTAAGTTTGCCTGGTAGCATAATGAGGCCCCAGTCTCTGTGGGGAATCCTAGATACATGCACAGCTGGTAAAG